GCGTGAAAAGATCCAAAAAGTAAAGGACAAAGGCTGGAGAATTGCAAAAAAGGTTGAGGACTTCTTACAAAAGAATGATCAGTTAACTGTCAGTCTCTGTGTCCGTGTTTTTGATAGAGACTTGCAGTTGTTTGAAGTTGAGGATGCCTACAATCAACTACGCATGATGCCGGCGACATTATGAGGGTTGACTTGCTAAATCGTAAATGTCAATGTGGACGGTTCACAGCTAGACGATTTCCTTGCAGTCATGTGCTAGCGGTGTGCAAGGTTGAAAAATTGAACCACTATGACTATGTCGATCCTGTGTTCTCAATTACACAAATTGAGAAGGTCTATGCTGCACATTGGTTTCCAATGGGTAATGAGTTGTTGATCCCAGAAATAGATGGTCCAACATTAATCCCAAATGCATCTTTGGTTCGTGCACAAGGAAGACCGAAGTCTTCAAGGATACAGAATGAAATGGATTGGGTTGAGTCCCAACCCACAAGCAGTCAAACTAGATGCAGCACCTGCAAGCAAATTGGTCACAATAAACGTACATGTCCTATGAGGATTAATCCTAGCTGAAGCAATGTTGTGCATGTATTTAAGGTCTTTTGTAAGAGTTCATGTAATTTTTGTAAGACATTGTGATGTTACTTTGTGTTACTGTTTAACTCATTATGTAATTTGACATTTCATTTCTAAGTCCATTATCTAACATTGGTCCATATTGATAGATTGAAACTCATAACTAATACTAATATTACCAAAAAATGAAATCACCAAGTTTCGGGGAGCGTAAACAAACGGTTTGGGGTAATACGTACCCAATCGCATACGAATCCTGTACAATACTATTTTGTACCTGAAAGTGTGTTCCCCAAGTCATTATATGCGTGTACATTGATATTCGATCGGTTCCGTGCCAAAAAAAAAACGTGCAAAACAGAATGGGGTGTCAAAACCAGTTATTTAGTCGAGCAACCCGTACTGGTTTAGTCGACTACACAGTTTAGTCGACTAAACTAGTACGGGTTGCTCGACTAAATAACTGGTTTTGACACCCCATTTTGTTTTGCACGATTTTTTTGGCACGGAACCGATCGAATATCAATGTACACGCATATAATGACTTGGGGAACACACTTTCAGGTACAAAATAGTATTGTGCAGGTTATAAACCACGAATGTGCATGTACTGCATAAATGCAATAATTAAGGGTATCCGAAACTTGTGTTCTTATTTTAACTCTGTTAAGGTCACCTGTTCTGAATTTCATTGGACATTTTAGACCCGTTGGATTGTGATTAGACACAAATTGAAAACATGAAGGTAAAAGATATTTGTTCCTTCATTTGGTAAACAAGAAAATAACAATAATTACGTAAATGGTTCACAACATGATGGGAACATCAAATAGTTCATTTCATAACCATAATATTACATAAGCTACAAATATAAAATAGGAAGACCGAAGTCAATTACATAACAACATACACTAGAAACGTAAAATAGAAACATAAACCCTAAATCTAATCCTCATCCTCCTCGGACGCCGTCTCCTCGTCATCCTCATCTGACACATCAGCCCCCTGCCCTGCAACATCCTCAATCTGCTGTCCTCGTCCAAGCTCTAGACGAGCAAGCCTATCTTCAACACCCTTGAACCGTCCCTGTATATGTCTAAATCTTTCATTTCCCTTCTGCACGTGACTCTTCCTCCATTTTTTGTGTTTCAGCGCCATTTTTCCTATTTTCTTCAGCGTGGCGTTTATGCCCTTCATGACATCACGTAATGAAAACCCACCCTCAGGCTCAGCTATCTCCTGCTGGTCACCCTCATCATCATCGTCATCATCATCCTCCACCTCGGGGTCAACCATGTTTACAACTGGAGCAACATCAGGAACCTCAACATCAGCCGCACCTGTGAACTGCCACACTCCTGTTTGGGGGTTCTTTGTCATCTTGCACTGCTCCAGTAGACGTTTTCCAAACTTATGATTATACCCTGTGGTCTTCTTCAAGGTCACATTACCCATGGGAACATCAAAATGCTCCAATATCCTCTGAACAAGACAAGCAAATGGAAGTGCACCCTTGTGTTTGGCCTTATACATCATCCAACACACGTAGTGCCTCTAGTTCACCGAAGTACCATGTCGGATAGCCCACATGATGGAAATGTCATGCTCCAACACCCTGGAATGATTGAACGCTCGCGGAAACAAAATGTGGGTGATGACATAGTGTAGTATGCGGGACTCCACAGTAAGCAACCCCACCGTATAGGCAATGTGTTGCCCACGGACTCTCCTCTGCTCCTGCACAGCATCACCGCGTGTATATCCTGGAAGTATGGTCCCGCTGTCTGCGTCATATTCCACAGTCTGCGCAGAATCAAAGTCATACCCCAGTAACTCCAACCATACCGGAGCCGTCATGATGATGTCCACCCCGCAGACCCTAGACCTCAGCTCACCGTGATGGTAGCTGAGATTATGGTAGAAGGCCCGTACATGCAGCTCAGAATATGAACACGACAGTTCAGCCAAGGTCCTAAGATGTGATTCCTCCAACCACCTCACAATGTTAAAACCTTCTTGTTCAAAAAAGGTTGTATCAAGTGATTTGGCCCCACAAATCGGTCGGTTAACAAAGTCACGGACAAAAGATTCATGAACCACCGGGTCATTCTCGAACAAGTATCCGAATGGGAGGTCCACAGCAGCGGGGTCTTCCTTTTGTGGCCTTGACGAAGACGGATGGTCTTGTCGTAGCTTTTGTCGTCTCTCATTTCCAGTGCTAGACGATCTTCTACAGCCAGCCATGGGAACAACTGTACCTACAATGCAAGTGGAAACAAAAATCAATGAACAATAACAATATCAAAAAATTTAAAATTCAATATAAAAAACAAAACCTAATCCTAAAATAAAACAGAAATCAGAAACCCAATCCCTAACCCTAAAACAGAAACAGAAACCCTAACCCTAACCCTTACCCTAACCCTAACCCTTACCCTACACCCTAAAACAGAACACAAAAACCCATTCCTAACCCTAAACACTACAACCCAAACAAAACAGCAACGTAAACCCTAACCCTAACCCTAACCCTAACATAACCCTAACCCTAAGCCTAAGGCACCACATCAACCCTAACCCTCACCCTCACAACAAACTTAGCACCCTACCCCTAACCTAAATCCACAAAACCGCAAACATAAATCAAATGCATGAAGAAAACCAAAAAAAAAACTAAACTTAAAACCAAATGCAAGTCAGAATACGTTACCTAAATGTCGATTTCGCAAGTGTGAACCAAGGAAGCTTCAATCGCACCTTCAAGGGTTGAGATTCGGACTTGGTTGGAGAGAGGGGACAGAATGCAGCCTTTTAGTCGATTAGGGTTTGAAAATAACCCCCTTTGCGAAATGGGTTTTTTTTTTAAAAACCTGATCTGCGACATTTAGTCGACTAAATAATGTGCTTAGTCGACTAAAAGTGCAAACAATTTAGTCGATTAAGGTGAGTTTTTAGTCGACTAAAATTCGAGTTTCATAATTTCTGAGTTTAGCCCATTTAGTCGATTAAAAGTGCAACATAATCGACTAAATGGGGGCAGGATGGTGGATAGTTCTGGGGGAGGGACAAATTGGTTATTAATTATTTAATTAGGGGCAAAAGGATAAAAAACCCCAACAATTATAGTCGAAAATATAATTTGTATTTTTGTCACTTTTAAATTTTAAGATTCAATTCGGAGAATAATCATTATGTATAAAGTTGCAGTTATGTAAAAATCTACACAAGTGAATAGTTTCTTTAAAAATAAATAATAAGTTAGATATTAACTCCTATTTTGAGAGAGAGAGAAATTTAAGAATGAACGAGAATAAAATCTGTGATATTATATACATGTATAATATTTCTACCATGCTATCGTATACCTGCATGTATGTTAGCTAAGCTATGATTATTTGTTATTACTAAGAACCACTGACATTTCTTACTAACCCAACAAACAAACAAAAGCTTCCTAATAATTCTACCCTGTTTGGATTTTTTTTTTTTTTTTACCTTATCTTTTCTCTACAAGTAAAAAATTAAAAGCCAATAACACTTTTTGGAGAAGTGTTTTTTTAAATTGTATTAAATTTTTCTTAAAAATTTGTTTTTTTTTTGAAATGAACAGTTTTAAGCTAAATTTTTTATATAATTTCATTATCTCTTATTACTACAAATTTTTTTTAGTAATTTCAAGGGTATTCTTGAATCGTAATTGAAATTTAATTTCCATCGAATATTATCAGACACTTTCAGAAATAGCTCTCTGAAATCTTTTTTTTTTTTTTTTTTTTGATTTGCAAAACAAGAAACCTCGAATCGAGACTTTTTACCACCTTTGTCAAATAAGTTTGGTCCTGACAAAGTGACAATTACTTTTACAACCGTTAATTCTACTAACCTTAGGAACTTACTTGATCCTAACTCTGGACAACCCCAACTGTATCGTTAATAATATATATCCACACATACATATATATTCTCATATTTATGTAGTTTTTACCGTCTCGTAGTTTGACTTATTTTTTATACATTCACGTATATAAATATGAGAAAAAAAAAATATATATATATATTTTTGGTAATATACGAATATCATTATTATTTCAAGTGTTAGAATATGGTATTTTAAGGGAAGCTCCCCACTAGACAATCCACTTGCAGAATGCTTGATCCATTTCATCGTTAAGGTTATTACCGTCATTTTGCAACCTCTCCAAATCTTCAAAGATCTTCTCCAATGCGATATCCCTTCTTGAGCACCCATCTTTTGATTTCATCCACGTCAGCAACGCCCGGTCCCAAAACTCGATTCCGACCTGGAAATATCTACTGCCCACGTGGCACTTCTGGAACATTCCACACCTCCATTTCTTCCACGTCACCATCGGCGGCCTTCGCTGTTCGCACCCACACAATATCTTTCTCCCTCTCGCCTAAACTAACGTCGGCGTTATCTACTTTCCTTACCGTACCTTCAGATTGGTCAATCTCCTTTCCCTCCCCACAACACAACACAACACAAGCTGAAGATTTTTCTTTCTCTTCTCTTTTTTTCTAAAACTATTTTTCGAATATTTGTTTATCCAAATTCAATTTAGCTTTCAAGTTTAACAGCAATTATGACGTGATATTAATGTTTTTATGATGAGTCGATAATGGCGATTAGTGAAGCTTCTGAGCTGGTAATCCTTGTCTCATTTTTCCTTTTTAACTTTTTTTTTGCTTTTGAATGAGAAAAATCTCTGTTTCTGTTTTCTAATCTATTCGTTTTTGATAGTGTCATAGATTTAGCATAAAGAATACGATGCATAGTTTCTGGTTCTGGATGTTCATTTTCAAGGAAAGATCTCTTCTGTGTTTGAAGTTACAGCTCTGACGCATCTTCTTCGCATGCATAACAGCATAACCGTTTTGGATTTTCAGTAAGTCAAATCTCGGAAGTTCTCAGTTAAGCTTTCACTGTTCTTCGTCTTAGTTAGGGTTTGGAAGATATTTATAAGTGAATCACTTCAAATAGGGATGAGTCACGAGTCTCTGCACTAGATCCATGCTTAGTTTTATATAATTTTTAATGTTGAATTTGAATTGAATAATATGAGAAAGGGATACTATGCTATGAAAGGGCGAGAACACCATAAAGGATTTTGTTTATGGATGTTTGGTTAGGTTGTGTGAATTTTTTTTGCGAAACAACAACATACGTTAGTTTTACTTGTATAGATCTTGTTATTTTTTTTAAAATTGCATGTCTTGTCATTTGCAGTTGCATTTGGATTGGGGTTCCAGAAGATTATCACATGTGCTGTTTTCCTATGGATGAGGACGGGTTATAATCATCGTGAGCTTGGGCATTTAGGATGACAGGGGGCGTACAGATGAGTATTGATGGTGACGACAAAGAGCTGAAAGAACTGACTAAAGACGGAGTTGCTGGTGAGAAGCGCTGTTTATGTGAGGATAATGAAGTGAAATGTAATGGATTATCTCAAGAAGTTAAGGTTGGACAGGGGGGGACTGTGGAATCCTCTTCGGTTCAGCAGCATATATCACAGCAACAGCCTCAAGGGTCAATGATTTGTTGGGAGAGGTTTTTACATATTAGATCTCTTAAGGTCTTGCTTGTGGAATATGATGACTCTACCCGCCTAGTTGTGAATGCACTGCTTCGCAATTGTAGTTATGAAGGTTAGTTATTTCTGTTTCTTTATTGAATCCCTTGCCTTTTTGGTTAGGCCTGGACACTAAACTTAAGTACTGTTTGCATTGTCAAATAAGTTGCTTTCCTCCTTTCATATGTTGATTAATATACATGCTAATGCATATTCAAATGGATAAGTGTATTATTATCCTTGTCTCTCCGATATGATGATTGATGATGCATATAAATTTCTACCTTAATAATATCTGCAAGTTTCTGATTAACCTAGTCAAATTTTATTTTGCACATGGATGTCATTTCTTGATAAGTAGTTTCCGTGAAGATGCTTGGCTGGGATTTGTTTCCTGCATCAATTTTCATGCACCTTGTCTTCCTTGAGAAGTTACTGTTCTTTTTAATGCTTACACTATCTACAACATCTCTGTGTTTAAGCTGTTGAGCGTTGTTTCCGTGGTATCTTGGAAAATCATTAAATTGATGATGTAGACAGATCAGAAACTGACCTACAGGTGCTATATGAAAGGCGTTATGGCCCCTTGGGCATGGTTTTACTTGTTATATACAGCATTGAGCTTGTAGATGAAATGGTTGATTTTTATGGAGTTTCTGAAAGCAAATTTGATCCTTCACTTGTAGATGAAATGGTTGATTCTTTTGTTCCTTTCGCCATGATTTTTATAGGTAGGCAGGCTTTATTTAAATGTTGGTAGTTACAAGAAGAATACTGATTAGGAAAGTGAAACAGGGAACAAAGAAATCGCAGGGTTTACTTTTTTTGTGTGTAAACACAAACCGAACAAAGAAACACGGAGAAAGAACGCATGAAACACTTGAGTGAAAATGACTATTCTTATCAATGCAAATTTGCTCTTAAATAGGTGGAATGATACATTTCTTCTCAATCCTAAAGAAACTGACAGTGTTTATGCTTATGCTTTATGTTAATTCTTTCTCGATATTGGATTAGAGCTTTTTGTCATGAAGCATCAGATCATCTGGAAGGTAATTGTGTGAGTATTTCTCTGGTATAAAGCCAACTTATTGAATAACAAAAAGGTGATTTAGTTATTGATGACAAGTTGCAGATTTGTAGGCCCCATAAGGTTTGGTTTCCCTTATTTGTGTGTCAGTGTAATGTGTGGTGCTTGCTCAGAATAGGTTCCACATCTTTTCTTATTTTGTCCTGCTACTGTTTCTCTGAGAAATCCCTTGTTTGGCCTTTTTGGTGAATGTTGGGTGTGTCCTGTGTCCCTGGACTAAGTTTTGATGATTAGTTTTCATGGCTTTGGTAGAAGTGAAGAGGCAATTTTTTTTTTGGCAATGTGCAACTTATGTTACTCTTTCTTTAAGGATGTTTATATGGTACAAGACTGGAAATTAAAGAAAACAGAACTGATATCAAGAACATTTGAGAGTTCTGTGTCTCTCCCCAAGAGCCCAAGAATCCCCACTTCTCCCAGATGCCTTCAAAATGGTCTTTACTCCTCTATATTTTTAAAAATTCACCTTGTACTCAAGGTGAGGATCAACTTGTGTAATCCTCCCCTCGGGTCCCATTGCTTTAAAGTGTAGGGACCAACTGATGTGTGAAGCAGTACCGGGATCCCACTGCCCTTCTTTATGGCCAAGTCCCTTGCACTTCCTGCACATAAGTTGACGTTTAATCAGGTTTATTGATTCAACCTACTTTATTTGTGACCATTCAGGAGGCCACGTGGTGGAGGAATTACCATAATTTCCAAAATCAGTTCACCCTGGACTAAGACTTTTAACATTGGATTCAAAAGAAATCAAGTCAGCATATGATAATATGTAATTCTCAACTAAGAAGTATTTAGAACCATATTTATATGGGTTACCATCAACACATTCAAAGACAACACTGGGAGGACAGCAGGGAATTCCAGTAAGTTCCCATCCCTTGCTGCTACAGTCCCAATGATCAATGTCAACAATATCAAAAAATTCTCCATGGACCTCAAATGTATTACCCTGGATGGCATCTCTTTTGTCATCAATTGATTAGATTTCACCCGTTGTGTGTAAATTGTTTCCATCATCTTACTCCAGTATACATCAATCATTTGAGAAATTGGCAACTCCAACATTCAATGTCAGATTATCATACCTTGCTCCGTAAACAATTGCATTGACCCAATGCTGTAGTTTATTTTGTATGATCCAAATTGTAGGCTTCAGGACCTCTTATGTTCTCTATAGTATACTACTTTCAAAATTCTCAGCAAGATAAAGATCTTGGAAACATTTTTCAAATATCTCAGACAATAACCTTTTTAAACCATAATGAAAATCTGAAACCAATGTCACCTGCGCAAGTGTTGGTATTGCTAAGTTCAGCTCCTGCAGAAACCAATGCCAGTTGTCCATTATATTGTTTTTAACCAATTGTGGTTCATGAATAGATCCTCTCATCCCAATTGGAAATAACCGAGCAGAGTGACCGTGATGTTGGAGGCTTAATCTTACCGCTGCCAACGTTAAGTGTGAACTTGCGAATTACATCTTTTGATGTCAAGCATAACTAGAGTTATGGGCACGACTTCTGTGCTCCATTTGAGAGTTCCAGATTGGTTGACCTCAACATTCCATAGCTACTCAAAACTTCTAAGGACACCTTTTGTTGGTTGATCGAGTTGAACGTGCCGTCGCAGACCACCACCTCCGCATTCGTCAAGCAAGTGTTGTCTTCTATCCTTGTGAAATTCAGTAGGAGCAAAACTCATGATCATTGGCCGAGCTAAACATGCTAACCACCAACTCGGTGTTAGACTTGTGGTTGATCTGAACGTATTGCCCACCACCTTGTATCCGTTCGAAATGTAGATGATAGAGTGAGGGTAGTCCTAGATTGTTGTATCCTAACTCAATATTTTAAGTCTAGTAAATTAAGAAAAAACCATGGGCTCGCTTGCCCGTTCTTCACACCCAGAAACAATAAATTGGGATTGGAATCGTTCAGACATTTGGGCCTGACCCAAGTCAACACAATGACCCAATTCTAGTAATTTCATCCCCTTGCCTCCTGCAATGCTTTTGACATGAGATTGAGGTATGGCAACCCTCTCTATTGACATCTCAGCCCCCGAGATTCCAACAACCGTTGCACAAGCACCTTGGTTCGACGGGTTCTGTGGTGAAGGCTCGGCCTGCCTCTTTGAAATCCAAAGTTCTCTCTTCATCACAAGCTCTTCTCCTAACTTTTTCTTTCTGATCTCCTCCCTCTTCAAACAATTGTGTTTTGCGTTGTAAATAAAAAAATCTTCAGCCATAAGCACTTCTTCCATAACTGTTTTTAATTTCCTTTGCTTTCATGAATTGTATCTTCTCCAATACAAAATTATTTTGCAAGTCTAGCATCTCTACACTAGCATTTGATTTCATGGGAGTAACTTCTAAGGTCATCTTGGAGATAACATTTAATGCCGTAGCTACCTTTTCTCTGATGTTGTCCATCATAAGTTGCTTTATCTCCTCTAACATGAAATTTTCTTCCATGTCCATTTTTGAATTCAAATGTCCCCTCTCTTCATCTTCGTTACAAAGATAGTGGGTCCATGTGGGTCGTATTTCGGTTGAAATTCTTTTAGCATATCGCCTTGGAGAAATTCCACCAACTAGTATTCGGATTTGACCCCATCCAAAAAAAGGAACTAGATGTGACAATATCCTTTTTCAGTCGTTTCGCAGTGCCTAAAATTTTCTCAGCTTCTGGTGTTCCTTTCACCATGAAGTACTGCTCCACCTGGATCTGCCACCAATATGCTTCCACCCTATCAAACACTAGAATCATCTTAAAATCAGGTACCAAAGCTTTCGAATCAAGAGCTCTGATACCAAATTAATCAATTTTAGGATTAAGAGGGAAGGACTGAGAAATAAAACTTGTATTAAAAAGATGGAATCCAACTCGGATCCAATCAGAAAATTATACTGTATGTCTTTAAGGGGAGATTGCAAGATTTAGAAGGGAAATTACAGACAAAAGAGAAATACAAGACTGGAAATTAAAGAACACAAAGCTGATATCCAGACAGTTTGAGGTTCTGGTTCTCTCACAAGCCCAAGAGTTCCCACTTTTCCCGGATGCCTTCAAAATGGTCTTTCCTCCTCTATTTATTCCAGCCTTTGTGTGATGCTGACCCTAACAAACTAATTCCCTGCATAATAACTTATGCTAACTCAGTGCTTGGAATTGGCAACAATCCCTGTCTCTCTTCCTCTCATACATCTTCTCAAACTTTCTACTTGGCAGAACCGTATCAGATTGCAGGTTTACATGTTGAGTTCTCTGGTCCAAGGTGACTTATAATTATAATAGGGATGGGTTATGGTTATAAATTTTAGACTAGAAATAAAAGAGGAAGTAATAATGATAATTTGCAGCTAAAATGTGATGTTTAAACTTTTTTATATTAACTTCATGAGTATTTTTGTTCATGGCATCAATATAATTGCTGTTGCGAACATCTCTTTGATCTCTGTTTATATAATGTATTTTCACATAAAGAGTCTAATTTTGTTTTGCGTATGATCTTATTTGTGTTTGTATCTTTTTAGTTATTGAAGCACCAAACGGATTGCATGCTTGGAAGATATTAGAGGATTTAACCAATCATATTGATCTCATTTTGACTGAGGTAGCAATGCCTGGCTTATCAGGCATTGGTCTTCTATACAAGATTATGGGCCACAAAACACGGAAAAATATTCCAGTTATTAGTAAGTTTTTCCAAGTGCTTATATTTGTTTGGTTTGAATTTCTTTTTCTCATGACATGCTGTAAAAGAGCTACTCTTTTCTATGGCTTCTAATGGGATTGGTCTGCAGTGATGTCTTCTCATGACTCTATGGGTTTAGTCTTTAAGTGTTTGTCAAAGGGTGCTGTTGACTTTCTAGTTAAACCCATACGGAAGAATGAGCTTAAAAACCTTTGGCAGCATGTTTGGAGGAGATGCCATAGTGTAAGCTGACTTAAATTTCCTTTCCTGACATCATGCTTTCCATTTTTTTTTCTTTCTGATCAATGCATTTCTATACATAAAAAATGCTATTGATATTAGTAGTTTGTTGTCTTTGCTAAGTCTATGAAGTCGCAATATCATTTCAAAATAGGTTTCCGATAGAAACTTTTTTTTTTATTGCAGATAGGTTTTTTGTTCAATGGCAATGACACCTTTGTGATATCTTCCTTCATGCTTCAAATAATTTGCTTGATATTACATGCGCTTTCCATTACTTTCTTAATTATGACTCCACTATTTCGTTTCTTTCCCCTCAGTCTAGCGGGAGTGGCAGTGAAAGTGGCACACAAACCCAGAAGTCTGTAAAATCAAAGAGTCTTGAGAAGTCTGATAATAATTCTGGAAGCAATGATGAGTATGATAATGGAAGTGAAGGCTTGAATAATGGTGATGGAAGTGACAATGGTAGTGGCACTCAGGTAGAACTTTTTTTATTTATCTTGATATTTTATCAGAAAACAGAAAAGCTCTCATGCATGACTAGATAGGCAGTAAGCTCTTTCTAAAATATTTTTATGGACTTGCATTAGCATACAACATCTAGTTGTATTGTTTCTAGATCTGTCATAGCTACACCCACACTAACTTTTTATCCTGTTATTGTTTTTCCTGTTTTTTTTTGTCCATATTATAAAATAGTATCAAAATGAGAGCAGTTTAGGCCAGTTGCTACATGAACATTAAGCTGGACAACGAAGCAAGAAGACACTTCTACTAAAACTGGCAAGCTTAGGCGTGTGGGAAGTTGAACTATTAGTGGCATAGGAAATTGTCATTCTTGATGTATAGTGGAGCACTAAGATTAAATGTTATAGTGGGTACAATCACCTAGGAATCGGGTCTTGTAAATACCCCTTGTATTTATTAATTCTTTGTATATAAATACCATCCTGAGGGCGAGTCTTGGAGTAGTGGTAATGTTATTTTTTGTTATTGGAAACTCAAGGTTTTGAGTTTGGGAAACAATTTGTTTGCAAAACAGTAAGGGTAAGGCTCCTTACAATCAACCCTCATTCATATCCTCGCAAGTCGAGGAGCCTTATGCATCGAGGTTTTCCCTTTGTACAAATAACAACATCCTGCTGAGTGCAATCACTCATACCATTGAACACAAAAAACAATTGTATATTTTTTAACGTGGTATTAGAGTATTATTGATATAGGATTGCTTTGACCATCGACATTGCAACCCTTTGATTGTATCCTAGCCTTCGTTGCCAATGTTTTTTTGTTTTTTTAAAACAGCCTTAATTGTCGTTCTTATTGAAAAAATTCCCTTGATCCATAATATTTTCCCTTCCTCACCTTGATAAGCTAAACTAAGGATGGCACCAAATGAGGAAACCACACCAGTAACGCTGCAACACCTGAAAGCCGTGTTTCTCAGATTGACGGCTGCAGCATCAGAACATTCAAACTACCTACAGTTTGAATGGGAGGAATTACCTCAAATGGTCCCCATTGGTGTGAATGATTTTGAAGGAAAAGAAAAGTTTGGTCATTTGATGAGAACAAGGCCTGGACCTATATAGATCAAAACTTTGTGGTATGGGATGAGGAAATTTGTCAATTTTCCTAGCACAAATGTGTAACTTTCTAGTCAGCAATAAAAGAAGCTTGAAACCTTTTGATCTTATGCATAGTGATGCATGGGGTCATCCTCTACCCCTAATGTTTCTGGAGCCAAGTAGTTCATAAGTTTTATTGATGATTGTACTAGAGTCATTGAGATCTTTTTGATGAAACACGTTTGAAACAAGTACAATTTTGCCCATTCCATGATAAAAAACCAGTTTGGGACGAGTATTAAAAAATTTAGAACAGAAAAGATTACCTCAATCTTGTTCTCTCTCCTTTCTTTTAGAAGAAGAGAATTATTCATGAATCATCCTGTGTCTGTACCTCACAGCAAAATGGGATAGCTGAATGAAAAAATGGCCATCTCTTGGGAAAAAAACCAAGCCCTTTTGTTTCAAACAAAAGTTCCTAAACATTTTTGTGGGGGAAGCAATTCTGATAAGCTACATACCTAAAAAAACCATCATCCTACCAAAGCCTTAGACCTTGAAAGCCCGGTGGATGTCTCAACCTCTTTTTTACCCTTATAAATCGCACCATAGGTCTTCCCACTTCCCACTCATATTTCCTGGTGTGTTTGTGTTTGTTATGTTCATATCCATTCCCAAAATAGAGGGAAATTGTACTAAAAAGCCCTCAAATTCATCTTCTTTGGCTATTCATCCACTCAAAAAAGGTATAAATGCTATCACTTTCCTACAAAAAGGTTCTATGGGTCCATAGATACCACTTTCGAAGAAGGAACATCCTATTATACTCTTCCTTCTATTCGGGGGAGATGTTAACGTAGGAAGACAAGGAGGAAGACTACTCTACTCTTGATAATACACTTGTTCAAAGAAATAACTCATTTCCATCCACCAATTCAAGTTCAGAAAACCCATCTTCAATGTATCCACCATCTTCACCTAAACCCACTTCTCCTATAACTGAATCTACTTATTCAAAGAAATAACTCATATCCACCCATCAATTCAAGTTCAAAAAACCCATCTTCAACACATCCACCATCCTTACCTAAACACACTTTTCCTATAATCGGATCTACATCCGAGCCTACATCTAATTGGACTCCTCCTCTAGCACCTGAAAATGGAAAATTCCAGGTTGATCTCTCTGGCTGAGGCTACATTCATTTATTCAACTTGACACGTGGGAAGGGCTTACTCTCCTAGTGACTCGGCTTGGTCTCGCTCCCTTCAACAAAGGAAAGGTGTACTCAAAAAGGGAAAGGATTGTTCCCAAACCTTGGCAAGCCTAATAATTCAATCCAGATTTTTCACAAGACACATCATCTAACTCTTCATTGCAGAATGCATATTAATGCATTGCTCTTCGAAAAGGAACCAGGGAGTGTACAAAGGCACCTTTATATTTCCTTACATGCTTTTTATGCTTTGACATGTTCTAAAGCCTTTCTTCTAAATTTCAACTCCATAACCATTCTAACCAATGTATCAGAGGCATCACTCCTTTGAAAATGGAGAAAAGCCATGAAATGCTGAAATGTCAAATGGAAGCATTGTAAAAGAATAAAATGTGGGAGCTGGTAGCACCTCCAAAAGGAAAGAAAACTGGTGCTTGCAATTGGGTGCACAATGTGTAGTATAAGGCAGATGGATCCATTAAAAGGTATAAGGCTATTAGTAGCCAAAGGATACACTGAAACCTTTGCAATTGACTAAGACAGTTGCCCCGATTTAAAAAATGAACCCTTTCAGAGTATTGTTGGCTCTTATAGCAAATTATGGATGGTACTTGCAACAATTTGATGTTAAAAATTCCTTTTGACCTTGAGACTTTGAGGAGATTCTCATGGATGTGCCATTAGGGTATGAGAACGTTTTTCCAAAAAACATAGTATGCAAATTGAGGAAAGCACTATATGGCTTAAAGCAGTCTCCAAGGGCTTGGTTTGCAAGGTACACAAAAGCTATGCTTGACAAATGATACTGTCAAAGTTAAGGAGATCGCACACTATTCATTAAACATTCCTTTGTATACGTTGATGATATAATTGTGATCGGGGATGATGACAAAGAGAAAGCCTTGTGCCAACATTTGGCCAGTGAATTTGAAATCAAGACATTGGGGAGTCTGAAGTACTTTATGAAAATTAAGGTTGCTCACTTCAAGCAAAGAATTTTTATTTCTCAACATAAATACATAAATGATCTTCTCAACGAGACGGAGAACACTACTTGCAAGCTAGCCAGCATGCCTATTGATCCAAATCTAAAGTCGGGTCTAGCTCAAGATGATGCCGCATGGAATAAAGAAATTTTTCAATGACTAGTAGGAAAGCTCATTTTTCTGTTACACACAAGATCAGACATTGTATATGCTGGAAGTGTAATAAGTTAGTTTATGCACGATCCAAAAGAGACTCACTTGGAGGCTGCATGCCAAGTTATTCATTATTTCAAAAGGACACCAGAAAACTGCATTCTATTAAGAAGGGGAGGAGGGGTATTGCTGGAAGCGTAGGCTGATGTTTATTATGCAGGATCACCAAGTGACGGCATATCCGTCACATGTTACTGCACTTTTATTGGAGGAAATTTAGTAACATGGAGAAGTCAAAAACAAAATGTAGTAGCACGATCCAATGCAGAGGCTAAATTCAGAGCCATGGCTCAGGGAGTATGTGAACTATTGTGGCTTAAAATTATTCTTGATGATTTAAGGATCATGAGAAAAGGATCAATGCGACTTTATTGTGACAATAAGTCTGCAATCAGTATAGCCCATAACCCAATTCTGCATGATCGCACCAAACACATAGATGTTGATCGACACTTCATCAAAGAAAAGCTTGTAAGTCGGTTAATTTGCACACCTTATGTAATCCACTCAACAACAACTTGCTGATATATTCACCACAAGAGTTTGTTGTTCAGCATTTCAAATGGTAGTTTCCAATTTGGGAATTTAAAACCTATTCTCTAGCATGAGGGGGAGTATGGGAAGCCGAACCATTAGTGGCATAACTTGATGTATAGTGGAGCTTAAGGGGGAGTGTGCGAAGCCGAACCATTAGTGGCATAGGAAATTGTCATTCTTGATTTATAATGGAGCACTAAGGTTAAATGTTATAGTGGGTACAATCACCTAGGAAGTGGAACTTGTAAATACCACCTGTATTTATTAATTATTTGTATATAAATAATAGCATCCTGCTGAGCATACCATTAAACATGAAAAAACAATTCTATATTTCTTCACAAGAAGTTCTGTGGCACTTCGTGTTTGAATAATTTAATGGGGAGAAAGTTGTTCATGTAGTTGCTGCTGTCTGACTAGCATGAAATGCAGTTATAACTTACTAGTATTTGGAAAAGTAATGGACTAGAAGCCTTCATGTTTTGATATGTCATCCATTAATACATCAAATATATAGAATATAAACGAAAAAGTTTAACAGCAAACACCACAGCAAGCCATCAGTGTACTGGTTAAAACTTAAAAAGTAACTAGCAAGTATTATCATATAAAAGTCATGCACTAATTCTGATAACCAAAAGCTACTTGTCAATTTCTTCTTTTTCTCCTTTTGCAGAGCTCCTGGACCAAAAGAGCTGTAGAAGTTGAAAGTCCCAAGCCAGTTTCCCAGTGGGATCAAATAGCTGAGTGCCCGGACAGCACTTGTGCTCAAGTTGTTCACTCCAATGCTGAAATATGCAGGAACAATGTGGTTCTCCTATCCACAAAGGAGTGTCCAGAACAAAAGGAACAACTTAGTAAGACCATAGCGCTTTAATCTTCCTGTCACTGCATTAACTCATTTCAAGCTTATCATGGTATTAACATAGTCATGAACCAACTCTCCCAAAAGTTTAAACTATTAGATGAAGACATATGCATGATTTTATGTTATATTTCTAACATGTCCTTTCATGTAAGAGTCTTTTGGGCTTGAAGTGCGGACAATGCACATGACCACCTGTTTTGTATTAAAATTCCACTGTGTTAGAAGAATGGGTCTGCAAGGATCGATCTCAAGACCACTTGGTTATAGCAGATACTATATCATGAACCAACTCTCCCTAAATCTTAGGATGTTAGGTGAAGGCATATGAATGATTTCATATTGTATTTCTTACAAACTCTATTTGCCCATTTCACTCTCTAGTGAACATGTAACCATGTTCTAATTGTTTGGAGGAAGAATTTTTAAAATACAATATCTTCCATTGCATTGACTTTGAGATTCTCTTCCTTGTTTTCATTATGTTGCACTGCTTTTGAGTTTTCCTTTAGGAGCTTTATTTCGGTAGCACATGTATTAGTTGTCTTGATTCATTGAGTCAAGACTTGAAAATGCTAAAGTCATGAGTTTTAATTCCCAAATGCAGTACTTTTAGTACTTGTTCAATTTCGTTTGGTCAAACACATGCTTTGCAACGCGATATTATTGTTATTCAGCTGCATTAGAGTGCTATTATTTTTTATTTGATGTTTTTCTTGTTCCGTTACCTGTTTGTGATTCACGCATGCCAATCTCATTCCATTAATACGTGTAAACCTCTCCCCCCAGGTGTGGGTGGCAAGCTATTCATATATGCATCAATGCATCTATGTACATGTGCATGTGTATGCATTTACCTTTTGTCGTTTTTGGGGTGATACATTGTATTTCATTCTTTTCCCTGGACAATGTCAGAGATGAAAGCTGACTCATTAGAGATATTGACTTTATGGTAGACGACTATATAAATGGGGTTCCAGTCAAAACTGCAGGTTCAAAACATAGCAACGCACTTGATGTAGGCCCCTCTAAATTCAATGAGCAAATTAATAGAGGACAGCTGGACCTTAATTGTGAGAATCAATCGAACAAGCTAAGATGCAAAGGTCTTTCATTGTCTGATGCCATTACTAGCACTTCTGAGTTTCAGATGCGTGGCGGAGAATTTGAAGCCCTAAATGGAAGACCCAAGTCCTCAGGTATTGAACACAAAGGTGCTAATAATTATGAAGAATTGCCATCTCTTGAGCTCAGTTTAAAGAGGCTTAGAGGAGTTAAAGATGCTGGTATTGCAGTTCAGGATGAAAGGAATGTTTTAAGACGTTCTGATCTGTCTGCTTTCTCGAGGTAGAATGATTTGGTGTAATTGTTTTGTATTGTTCTGAATTAATTTTGAGATGGATCAGGATTACTGTATAATTGTTAAAAGTCTTTTGTTACAGGTACAATGCAGTCCCTAACACTAAGAAATCTCCCACTGGATGTGTTGGAAGCAATTTTCCACATAATAATAGCTTAGAAGTTACAAAGAAAGATTCATCTCGTGGCATTCAATCTCATTCCAGGGGCAATCCTCCTAACCAGAACTCAAATGGGGCTAGCAACAACAATGATATGGGTTCTACTACTAATAATGCTTTTACTAAATCTGCAGTTGTAAGTGAGCCGGCAGTGGCATCAACAACCAAATGTTTGTACCAAACCTCTGCTTTCCAGTCCATAAAGAACAGCCTTGTGTGTACTTCCAAACAAGTTGTCTTACATAATACTGAAGATACGACAGCAACAATGCTGGCACCACCTAGAGTAAACACCCACAAGGATTATGCAAGTCAGGACTTCCATCACCATTATGAAAATCGTAACTGTATTGCTGACGACATGCAGCACCAACTGGCACCTGATCATGATGCTGAATCTTTGAACAAAATGGCTGCTGCTGCTCCACATTGTGGGTCATCAAATGTGGTTGAAGGTAATATTGAAAATTACAGTATCAATAGAAGTGCTTCAGGCAGCAACAATGGAAGCAATGGACAAAATGGGAGCAGCGCTGCAGTTAATGCTAGTGGGACAATAATAGAAAGCAACAATGGACTCGCTGGGAATAGTGGCAGTGGTGATGCAAGTGGGACTGGAAGTGCCAGCAGGACAGATCAAAACAAGAGTTTGCAAAGGGAAGCAGCCTTAACTAAATTTCGCCAGAAGAGAAAGGAGAGAAAGGAGAGGTGCTTTCATAAACAGGTAACTGACTATAGACTAATACGTAAGTGATTTATTATCTAGTACTGTGATATTGGCAGGAACTGGAAATTATAGGTAGATATAATGGGGACTACCTCCACTCAGGTAGATCTCTGTAAATACAAAACTCTCGGGAAAAATGCAGAAAAAGAAATTGAAAGATAACAATGGGGTCCTGCGATGCACGGGGAATCCCCAACCTGTTGGTGGAGCAGACTACTGCTCTACAAATAGAAGTGAAGTTTCTCCTCTTATGATGAGTGTGTCGTGTGGGGCTAACTCAATATGGTTTGAATTTTAGGTTCGATATCAGAGCAGAAAGAAATTAGCTGACCAACGACCCCGATTTCGTGGACAATTTGTGCGACAGTCCTCAAACGAAGATGCAAGTGATGCAACAGATAGCTGATTCAGAGCATTTGCCACAATTGCGTAATGATGGGATATGTAAGAATAAGTCGAGGAGCCTTCATGTTGAATTTGGGTAGTGTTTGTATCGTCGTGTATTGTGCTAATGTATAATGAACTCAATTTATTCCAACTACTACGCTCATTTGGAATCTGAATCATTTTAGGTTGTGAGAGATTGTTATGCTGATTGATTTTCATTTAGCGACCTTATAATTTCTAATTGTAAAATAACAAGAGACAATATTGAATTTATTCAGAAAAGTATAATATATAAAAATATATTAATGGACTTAGTTCAGATTTAATCTAAATTCTAATAAAATAAGAAAATATATTTTTATAAACAATAAAGATATTTTTTTCAACACTCTCTCGGGTTAGAGGGTGTAGATTATAAGCGACAAGTTTGAACAAAAAAGACTAAGAAACATAACGTGCTTCCCTTGAATGAGGAATTAAAATAAAGCAGTGTGCTAAAATGAATCATGGACGGTGCTCCCCTTCAAGATGGAGGGATATTTCATCTTGGGAAGAAAGAAGACTAAAATGAATCTTCATGGAATATAAGTCAGACAAATTGACAACAAATCAATTGGAATGACCATCAGTTTGAAGAGTTGGTAAAGAGACAGTGTTGGAATGAATATTAGCAAAGGAAGAAAAAGACATCAGCCAAGGAAAGACTTGGAAAAAGATAATGCTGCAATTAGGGTACAAGCCGACGGAGCCACTATAACTGGAACAATCAGCGGACTAGACAACAACTGACATAAATGCTTCCCCTGAACGAGAGGTTCAAATAAAGCTAAAAAATGGCAAAAATAAATCAAATACAAGCCAAATCAGACTTGAACAACACCACAAACATATGTGAGAATAAAATGAAATTGGCCAAATACAAGCCACAAAAGAAAATCAAAATAAAAATAATAAATTACCGAAGAGGAAGAAAACATAGCTAGAAGAAACAAGATTCAGCCAGAGAAGTAAAGATTATGCGGCCGGAGGAAAGAGACGCGACCAGAGGAGAATCGATCGGGAAAGAACGTGTGGTCGAAAAAAGAAGAGATGTAACCGAAATGGGGAGGCGAGTGCAACAGTGAAGATGGAGATCGGAAAGGAGGTCTCACGCACCTCCACGCATGAAAGGAAGATGCTGATGTGCAGAAACATGTGGCTCCTTGCCGGTGCGTGCGACAGTTGTTGGCGATGCTGCTTGAACGATGGTGAGCGCATGGGGAAGATGATCGGCAGTGGTGGTTGGCGGCCGAAAAGTCATTGGAAAAAATTCTGGCGGTGACCTGTGGCGGTGATCGGATGAACAATGACGGCGAACTGCTATGCAGAGGCAGAGATGGTTTTGGCCAGTGCTAGATGTTCATGGTGGTTGGGTCTTCGATGGAAGACATGAACGAGAAGAAGAAACTAAGAGAAGCAGAGAGAGAAAAAGAGAAAGGGAACAGACAGGAAAGCCAATTCATCACGGTGGGTGATATCTCTCTACTACCATATTAAAATTATAGAAAAGAGAAATAAGGAAAGGTATACAATGATTCCTCTCGTTAGGCTCTAGATATCATGTAAAATAACAAGAGACGAAAGGAACATTAAAATAAAGCTGTACATTAAATTTATTCAGAAGAGTATATTATATAAAGAAACACTAATGAGCTTAGCTCATACCTAACCTAAATCCTAATGAAATAAGGAAATAGATCTTTACAAATAATAAAGATATTATAAAGATATTTTTTCCAACACTAATACTTATTGATATCGTGCTGAAAGAATCTAATGTGTCGTTCATTTGTCAACTGGTTACTTCTATGTCTCTGTGTGTATAGCTAGAATAGGATACCTAAGGTAAATATTGAAAATTGAAATATAGAATTAAAATATTAAAGACATTTTAACGTAGCTTGGAATATAAGTTGTTTAAGATTTCGGCTCACAAATTATATAAACGAGTGTTAGTTGGGTGTTTATTAAAGAAAAAATTAATGCGAAAAACGCTAAAGAACCAATTCAACTCAAAAGTTTAAGCTATTGAGTGAGGCTACATTAATAGATTTATATATCTCAACACGCCTCCTCACAAAGAGAGCCCATTGGGTTTGAAAGGCGGATGATGCATCAAGCCCAATCTACCTGTGCTAAGAAATTCCACAAGAGAAAGTGGAGGACAGTGAGGATCAAACCTGTGACACCGAGGCTCTGATACCATGTAAAGAATCAATTTAATCCAAAAACTTAAGCTGTTGAGTCAGGCTACATTAATGGTTTTAATATATCAACAGAGTTAAAGATCAGTGCATCTTATATATCAGGATCGTGCTGGTATCAAGAAACAGTTAGTAGAAACAAAGTGATTGAGTTTGCTTCGTATGGAGTAAAATTGGAAGATGTGAAGGAAGAAGCATGAAAATTGCCATTGCCGTATGACATTTTAGTAATGAAGTCCCAAACCAAATCTCGAACTAAGAAATCGGGTGCAGGGAATTTTACCAATCTTCTTAGTTATTTTTATGATTACCAGCCTCTTTGATTATTATTTTTACATGCAGGACTTAAACTTATGATAAGAGCCTATCTTTATTGTAAAAGGGAGTACTTCAAGACGTGGAAATATGTTAGGCTACAAAGATGATGATTACTAAAAGCTGTTAGTTAAGTCCATTGTGTTGTAAGCATGTGATGCAGTTATAGTTGGTTCGTTAGGATGCTGTTAGTGCTATTATTAATTAGTTACGCCTAGGGAACTATAGTTGTCACAAGTGTATAAAATGCTGAGTCTGTATAACATTTGGGATATCTGAATAATAATCTGAAGTTTTCCTTCGTTCCTTTTTCTCTGTTTTCTCTCTAAGAATTCTTACCCTTAACATTGGTGCTTTCGTACCTTTCATTCTCTGCATCAACATCATGAAGGTGCAAGAATTATTGGAAGAACTGAGTTCCTTTCAACACATAGTCGATGCCAGCTTGAAGGAGATTAGAATTCAAACGATTGATACAAGGAACCAGATTGCTCTCTTGATCGCTCAAATGCAACAACTTCAAGAATTGGTGATTTCAAGAAATGGCTACTCACGCTAGTTTCCAATCTTACATGGAAACCAACTCTTCTTCTCAAATTCCAGTGCGACCAGAAGTTGGAGACCAACGTGTTCAATTAAAGGGAGTTTGTATGGCAATTTCGTTATTCAATGGCAATGATTCAAATAACTGGATCTTCAAAATAGAATTTTTTTCAACCTTCAGAACATTCTTGAAGAAGCTAAAGTGGCGCTAGCAGGTCTCAAGATGGAGGGCATGTCCACGTCTTGGTTCCAGGGGACATTCAACAGCGGTGCTGCTCGTTCTTGGCGGGATTTCACTGTAGCGGTGCGTCAGCGTTTTGGCATTTCGGGTTTTACAAACTTGAAGGGTGCTTTATCCAAGTTGATTCAAATAGCTACATTACGTGAGTATATTCAGCAATTTGTGGTGTTGGTAAATCAAGTTCCCGATTTAGATGATGACATGCATATGAAATTTTTTTTTGTCGGGGTTAAAATCTGAGTTACGAAGTGCTGTTCAATTTAAAGAACCCAAATCACTTCATCAATCTATTCAACTTGCTATGGCGTACGATGAACATTTTGGGGAGTTGCAGCTTTCATTTCAGTCATCGAGCAAAAGGTTTGTTTCGAAAACCACTTTAGTGTCTGAAAATGGAGTAGCACCTTTAGCTACATTAGTTACTAATCAATCACCAAGTATAGCCTTATCAGTACCTTCCCAGATTAAGAAACTTACCCATAATGAGCTTTATAAAAGAAGAGAGATGGGACTTTGTTACAATTGCGACGAGAAATGGAACACAAAGCATAAATGTAAGAATAAGTTGTTGTTATTGGTAGGAGAAGAGAGTGCAGCGAATCCAAAGTCTGACAAAGAGCAGGTACTGTGGCATGCATAAGGAACATGATTTGCAACACTGTGACCAACCTTTGACCTTGAGGACAAGGTCCTTTGTGAAGAAGGGGGAAATGTTAGGCTACAAAGATGATGATTATTAAAAGCTGTTAGTTGAGTCCATTGTGTTGTAAGCATGTGATGCAGTTACAGTTGGTTCGTTAGGATGATGTTAGTGCTTTTATTAGTTAGTTACGTCTAGGGAACTGTAGTTGTCATAAGTATAATGACCCTAACCGGTAAATCTTAATTAGAGATTTAATTTAAGGATTTAAATGCCATAATTAAATTCAGAGTGTGATTTCGAATATTTTGACTGTAAATCATGACGAGGTTATGAACAGTGCGTTCTGTCGGGTGATCTGTATTCTTGTGAATTAACTGGTAGAGCTAAAATGAGTAAAATGATTTTAGAGACATAATTTGACAATTGTGACGCCAAATATGAGTTCAGATCGAAAAATTATATAGTCTGGCACTTTCCGTGAAAATCACGTGAATAGTGTTTTCTACCGGGTATTTTGTACTGCTGTTAAGCAACCGGTAGAGTCCAGAAACAAATAATTGATGAAATAAGAATAATAAAGTCCAATATATGTCAAACAAGTCAATATAGGCCCAAAAAAGATAAGTATATAAGTTTTAAGTTTCGTAAGCAAACTATGACAGTTAGTGATTTACAGTGCATTTCGTCAAAAATGGTGCATAAATCATACTGTGAATTATGAATATTGTTCCTTAGGAAATAAAAATTAATGTAAATGTGTTCAGAAAAATAAAAATATGTTTGTAGCTTTAAGTTAGTTCCGGGCCAGTTTAAGTTAAAATACGCGATAGAAAAACAATCGGGTAAAAAAGCCACATGTGCTTAAAACCTTAAGTGGCTTAAATGAGCACTATTCAAATCAGTTCTCTCTCCTCTCCTCCCTCTAGAACCCGAGCTGTTCTTACGAGAAAAAGGGGTTTAGGGTTTGGTTCTTCTTTCCTTTGATTCTCACTCAATCTTCCACCAAATCACAAAGCTCACTATGTAACACCCCGTTCTAGAACCGGTTTGTTAACATTGCTTTATGATATTAAGCGCAGTTACAATCACATTGGTTCACTTAAAAACCCGGATAAATTTTTCGTTTTCATTTTTAACAACGCCGAGTTTGAAATAACCAATTGCGTGACCATAACTTTATTACTTTGCGGAATAATCAAAACTAAACTTAACATCATATCATTATTCTGTTCGAGTTCAATACTAAACTCTCTTCGCCTTTTGTTAAATTGGAATTTATATATACTT